CTTATCGAGTACTACTTGGCGGGTCCGTGCCAGGAATTCCAAAGTACTTACTTTGCACGTGCTCATAGTATTCTAATGCTGTATGTTTGTTATTAAGCTTTTACCGTGTTTATTTTTGACGAGTTATTGTTAATATGCTTTCTATAGAAAATTGGTACTGGTTTTGTACCAAATTTATATCAAGAAATGCACGGACCCGCCAAGTAGTACTCGATAAGGAATCACCTAAAGTTTTATTAATTATTAAATCACCATTAAATCATAATTAAATACGGGAAGCAGTAGTAACATAAAAAAGTAGCGAAAACGTTATAGGAAATATTGAAAATATAATTAAAATGATGGGCCAGTGCTAGATCATATAATAGGAAAACATGTAGTGACTTATGTACTTGGCCTCAATAATATGATATCAATACTTTTTGTTAGAGGAATTCACAGCAATCCTGTACTTGGCGTAGTTTTTTACACGTAAGTGTTTTTTGGGGGATCATGTCCTTATCGCACACTGGACACTTGAAAGTCCGAGCCATAGTTCATAGGACTCATAAGTCCGAATCTTTGTGCAAAGGTGATTAATAGGACCTTAATAGAAGGTTTCTCACCTAGTTTGAACAAATCTACGAATCGTATCACCATTGCAATCGATCACACACAATCCAATTTAAGCAAAAGAAATAATAGCACAGTTGTGTTACACGCTTTGCGAGCTACTAACGAAAATCATGCTCCTACATGTTTTACGAAAGCAGACGATACATTGTAGCAATAAAATCTCGAAACAGTAGATCAAATTTAACGCTCAATGTACAATCACGAGCTTGCACTTATACATACTAATATTTTTAAATAATATTATTTATAAATTAAATATACACATATTTAATATAAAAATATGTAATAATAACTTCATATCAAAATATATGTTGTGACGTGATTTTTCGAATCACGGTCCCAAGGCGGCTCCGGTTACCGATACAGATAACGTTCTCGATTTCTGGTTCTCTTCGGGTCGCCACCCTGCTCAGAAGCTACGCTCTCGGGTTGATTCGTACAGTTATGTCAAGGCTCTCGTAAGATTGTGTCAGTGTTTAGTTGAGGTCGAGGTGCTCGAATCTGCCGTGGGGATATAGTCTCGACGTACCGAGTTGCCCGGCAGAGGAGAGTACCCGACGGAGACGTCTCCACGGACCGGCAGAAGCCCGGGTGAGATACCGGCGCCCCGCTGGAGATGGGCAAAGGGCTGTAGAGCGGGCGGAGGAAGTTTTGGTATGGTTAACGGCAGGAGAGGAACCTCCTGCCCGAGTTCAGGATGTGGT